TTGTGGAGTGACTGACCTGAAGAAGCTGAAAGAGGCAGAGAGGCTGGTGTATGAAACCTTCAGGGTCATGTCATGATAGCTGCATAGCTCTTCTGCTGTCATGCATTTGCAGTTCTCAGAGAAGGAGGATGTCACTCTGAGGAAGAGGGAAATGATCCCCATTCCTTTGGGGATAAGCAGTTTGGCTTCCATGCCAAGGATACTCTCCTGGCAGGGGAGAAGGCAGTCCTGGTAAAGCAATCCAGTCATTAGGGGCATAGATGGCTGAGTGTGTGATGGACCTGCAGACTGCACAATGACTTGCTTGCCTGGTGCCAAGGGTTGCTGATGTCATGCATAGTTATCTAGCTAGTGCTGAGGAGGAGTTCATGGTACATGCCAGAACCAATGATGTGGGGGAGATGCTGGAAGCAAAATTTAGGTAAGAGGTTGGAAGCCAGGGCCTTCAAGGTAGCCTCCTCTAAATGTCACAAGTTCCATGCACAGGGTACAGGCACAGCTGTGCAGCATCAATGTGTGGGTGAGGCAGTGGTGTTGGGAAGAGGGAATTGGGTTTATTAGGAACTGGGTAAGTTCTGGGACAAGCCAGGCCTATACAAAAGAGAAAGGCTCCATTTGAACCAGGACGGAACCTGACTTTTGGCACTTAAAAAAACCACAAAAATCGATAGGAACAGTGGAATGTCTGGTTTGGAGCAAATCATCAATGAAAGCTGAGGATGAGAATGTTTGTGATTATTGAATGAATAGATGAATCTTTATTTGCATCAGCCATCAGCCATAGCAATAAAACAACAATACGATATACAACGAATAGAAATAAAAAGTCAATGATATAAAATACATTTTAGGGTTTTGAATCAATAGTCAAATAGTGGATCTTATTCTGATTGCCCCAGCTAAAAACCTTGCAACCTTTGCTGTCACCTGCTCATCTTGATGTGCCAAGAGAAAGGACACTGTGGCAGTGGTTGGGCGACCTGGAATGGACACTAAAAGAGGGGTGATAATCTCATTCCTCAAGACTTTATAAAGAGTGCAAGCCAGACGGGCAAGCGCCACCGATTCGGTACTGTCATGTCCACAGGGACATAGGCGTTTTTCTTGTGGAATCTGTTGGAATCGTCCCTCAAGTACAGCCGAGGGCAATACATTCAATATTGTGAGAGTAGAAGCGTGTCTATATTTTAGAATTGCTAGGTTATGCAGATAGGGTGCTAGAGAGTCGAAATGGGAAGGTGGAAAATAGTCATACCATGGGCAAAATTTCCTTACTGTGGCCAAGTTGTTCTGATGCTCGATATCATTTAGGCACTGACAAATTAGACTGTTTGCTTTACTAAAACCCAAAGTGAGTAGCTGTTGTGGTGATGAGCCACAAGAGTGAAGTTTTTGATAGACAATTTTAGTCTTGGCACTTTTGTAACAATCTTGCAGCACTAGGGATATTAGACCAGGGTGATTTGAGTTTAGGCAAAGCCAATAGTTCAGTGTCCTATGCCAGATCCGTAATTCTACCAAGGGAAGATTAGCCTCTAGGCGCACTGATGCGTTTGGGACACAGGGTGGTACAAGAATATTTGCCTTAAGAACGTTGATTTGATAGCTTCCACTGATCAAGGTGAGTGCCTGTCCAAATCTGAGCCCCATATAATAACTGTGCTAGGGGTTTAGCCTGGAACACTTCCAGGACTGATGGTATATGTTTACCACCTTTTGTGTGGAAAAAGTGTGTGATTATTCAAACAGGGGAGAGAGGTAGAAGCAAGCAGGGGCACATGACTGCAATTCAGAGAGGCCAAAACACCACAGGGTAATGTGCATATGCTAAAAGCATTTGGAGACATTGTGGGTTTGAACTGGCAGTGGCGGACTAGGAATAAGACCTTGGGGTCATAGTGGATAGCTAGATAAAGCTGTCTACCCAGTATGTGGCAGCTGCTGGGGAAAAAGGTGAATTCCATGCTAAGTATCAAGCTAAGAAATGGATTGAAAATAAAACTGCCCGATATCACAATGCCGTCATACAAATCTGTGCATGTGGAACGCTGTGTGCAGCTCTGATTGCTAACCTCAAAAATGGATATTGTAGAGCTGGAAAATGTTCAAAGAAGTACAGCCAAAATGATCAAAGGGTTGGAGCAACTCCCCTGTGGGGAAAGGTTGCAGCATTGAGGGCCTTTTAGGAAAAAACGGTGAGAGACAGGATAGAAGTGTGTAAGATTATCCATTTTTCTGCCTCTCTCGTAGTGCTGAAACCTGGTCCCATGCGGTGAAGAGGAATATTGGAAGATTCAGGCTGGAGATAATAGTTAAACTTTACCATTTGCTCCCCCAAGTTGTAGTGATGGTTACCAAATTGGATGGGCTTAAGAGAGGGTTAGGGACGTGGGTGGTGCTGTGGGTTAAACCACAGAGCCTAGGACTTGCTGATCAGAAGGTCGGCGGTTCGAATCCCCACGATGGGGTGAGCTCCCGTTGCTTGGTCCCTGCTCCTGCCAACCTAGCAGTTCGAAAGCACCTCAAAGTGCAGGTAGATAAATAGGTACCACTCCGGCGGGAAGGTAAACGGCGTGTCCGTGCACTGCTCTGGTTCGCCAGAAGCAGCTTAGTCATGCTGGCCACATGACCCGGAAGCTGCACGCCAGCTCCCTTGGCCAGTAAAGTGAGATGAGCGCCACAACCCCAGAGTTGGCCATGACTGGACCTAATGGTCAGGGGTCCCTTTACCTTTACTAAGAGAGGGTTAGACAAATTCATGGAGACTAATCATGGTGGCTATGTTCTACCTCCACTTGCCAGAGGCAGTAAGATTTTGACTACCATTTACTTGGAATCAGAAGTGGGGAGGATGCTTGCGGTATCCCCATAGGTGTTTTGTTGGCCACTGTGAGAACAGGATGTTTGACTAAGTGGGCCTTTTGCCTGACCCAGCAAAGCTCTCCTTGTGTTCTTATGTCTAATCTTGTTGTATAATGTTAAAACACAACAGACTACATTTGGATTTACAGATGAGATTCATAAAAATGAAAGTAAAATCAGTTCCTAATTTTTAAAATTTAAGAGCTTTGCTTTGATACGGGGTGGGGGTGGGAAATCATTTGAGATTTATGTCAAATGATTTCCATGTGAGAGGTGACTGAGAATAATAAGAGGGCTTTGTGCTGTTTAATTGGGGGGGGGGGGATGGTTCCTGTCTTCTTCTCATATTAAACCCAGTGATGTGTACCCTGGAGGTTTCACCTGTTATATTTGGTTGGAGATATTCACCTCAGAAGAAGTGCTTCTTGGCACACAAAAAAATTAGTTCAGGTATAGCAAAAACACTGCCTAAAGTACAGCTGAACTTTTTGCATGAATTCCCTTTCAAAAAGTGAGCAAATTCAGCATACTTCAGTTAAAATTGACCTAAGGCAACTCTTAACATATGCAAAAAAAAAACTTCTGAGACAAACTTCGGGAACAAATCTACCCCTCCAGGATCACTTGTGCCAAAGAGTTGCTACATATTTTAAGTTTGCTCACTACACACAATTGTCACCTTTTTAAAATTCTTACTCTTCTTGTGTTGTGGAAATTCCCTGGTCATTCCTCCTAGACAGAAATACCTATTCAAAGGACTAAGGGGCATTTGGAAGGCACAAGTTACCATAATAAATACATTAGCTTTACAAACCAGTAGAAATATATAGCTTTAGTGCTTAATAGGATAGCTTCTGGGGAAGTACCTCTGCTTTTTTGGCTGCAGCAACACTCAGTGTAGGGGTTGATTCTAAAACAATAAGGGTTCCCTGCGAACAAAATGAGACCCATGTTTCTTATGAGCCGCTTAAAGTACCCAGATAGCAAAATGGATAATATTCATACCTTAGACACGCACCAGTTGGCCAACTAGACCTAGAACGGCCACCTTTGGTTTTTGATCCTATTCCAGAAAATCAGGAGGCACTGGAAAGCCTATCTCCATATGCTTTTTTTTTTTTTTAAAAGATATTTATTAAAGTTTCACAAAAATACAGAAAACAAAGAAAAAAGTATAAATTACAGCAAAAAAGTAAAAAGTAAGAAAAAACATACAAAATAAAACAATTAAAAACACAATGATGTTCCATAACCTATCTTCCTTACTCTTATTTCCCCAGACCTCCTCATACCTCCCTTCTTTGTATTCCAATTCAGTTTGTTGGTTCAGCAAATCCTTACCATTAATCTTTTACCCAATTGTTAACCTTTTTTTTCATGTCTCTTAAAGCATTACAGCTAAAAACCTCTTAATTTCTATCCAACATCCTTCTAAAGTTCCTTAATTTTACAATATTTCTGTAAATAGTCCTTAAATTTTTTCCAATCTTCTTTCACCGACTCTTCTCCCTGGTCTCGGATTCTGCCAGTCATTTCCGCCAATTCCATGTAGTCAATCACCTTCATCTGCCATTCTTCCAAAGTGGGTAGATCTTGTGTCTTCCAATACTTTGCGATAAGTATTCTTGCTGCTGTTGTAGCATACATGAAAAAGGTTCTGTCCTTCTTTGGCACCAGTTGGCCGACAATGCCCAAGAGAAAGGCCTCTGGTTTCTTCAGAAAGGTATATTTAAATACCTTTTTCAGTTCATTGTATATCATTTCCCAGAAAGCCTTAATCTTTGGGCACGTCCACCAAAGGTGAAAGAATGTACCTTCAGTTTCTTTACATTTCCAACATTTATTATCGGGCAAATGATAAATTTTTGCAAGCTTGACTGGGGTCATGTACCACCTGTATATCATTTTCATAATATTCTCTCTTAAGGCATTACATGCCGTAAACTTCATACCTGTGGTCCATAACTGTTCCCAGTCAGCGAACATAATGTTATGTCCAACATCTTGTGCCCATTTAATCATAGCAGATTTCACCGTTTCATCCTGAGTATTCCATTTCAACAGCAAGTTATACATTCTTGACAAATTTTTAGTTTTGGGTTCTAACAATTCTGTTTCTAATTTTGACTTTTCCACTTGGAAGCCTATTTTCTTATCCAAGTTATATGCCTCCATTATCTGATAGTAGTGGAGCCAATCTCTCACTTTATTTTTTAATTTTTCAAAACTCTGCAGTCTCAATTTATCTCCTTCTTGCTCCAAAATTTCCCAATATGTCGGCCATTTGGCCTCCATATTGAGCCTTTTCAGAGCTTTTGCTTCCATTGATGACAGCCACCTTGGGGTTTTATTTTCCAATAAGTCTTTGTATCTTATCCAGACATTAAACAATGCTTTCCTAACAATATGATTTTTGAATGCTTTGTGTGCTTTGACCTTATCATACCATAAATATGCATGCCATCCAAATACATTGTTAAAACCTTCTAAATCCAAAATGTCTGTGTTTTCAAGAAGTAGCCATTCTTTCAGCCAGCAAAAGCTGCTGATTCATAATAAAGTTTAAGGTCTGGCAGGGCAAATCCACCTCTTTCCTTAGCGTCAGTTAATATCTTAAATTTTATTCTGGGCTTCTTGCCCTGCCAGACAAATCTAGAAATATCTCTCTGCCACTTCTTGAAACAGTCCATCTTATCTACAATTTGTAATGTCTGAAACAAAAACAACATTCTAGGCAATACATTCATCTTTATCACAGCAATACGGCCCAGCAACGAGAGTTTCAAATTTGACCAAATTTCTAAATCTTTTTCACTTCCGTCCAACATTTTTCGTAATTATCTTTAAATAAGTTCCCATTTTTGGCTGTCATATTAATCCCCAAGTATTTCACTTTCTTTACCACATTCAATCCTGTCTCATTCTGAAACCTCTCTCTTTCAATCGGTGTTAAGTTTTTCTCTAAAACCTTAGTTTTTAACTTGTTCAATTTAAAACCTACCACCTGACCAAATTCCTGAATTAATTCTAAAACTCTTTTAGTACTAGATTCTGGCTCCTGTAACGTCAATACTAGGTGTGATGGGATGATGAGCTGCTTGTGCGTAAAATCGTATCCCCTCAGAGTTTGTTCAAGTCCACAAACCTCTGTCTGTGACAGAGCCCCTCAGACATGGCTACTCTAGTCACTAGCAGATTCCGACAGTGGTTGCTTTCGTAATCGCTTCCAACATAAAAGCTCCTTAACGGAAACACGTCTTCTGGAATCTCTGCGTGACAGTTTCCGGCGAGGAGTGGGTGTTCTTACAGGAGGTCCTGAAACCTCTCCACTGTTTTCGCTGGAAGTGTCTCTGAGCCATCCCTCCAGCTCAGCTCCTCTCCCCCTGCTGGTTCCCTCATCAGCTGCTGCGTCTCTCCCAACCTGTGTGAGCCCTTTCACCTCCCTGTTGGTTTCCTCTTCAGCTGCTGCGTCTCTCCCAACCTGTGTGAGCCCTTTCACCTCCCTTCCGTCCGATGGCAGTTCCCTGACATCCACCTCCCCTCCAGGGCCCCCTTCACCCCCTCTCGCCCCCTCCTCTACGGGCGGTGAGGAGGCAAAACCCGGAATGAACTTCCTTCATCTTCCGATGTCTCGAACACTTCTCTCAACCTGTTGCGGTTCCTGGTCTCGAAGTACACCTCCTCCTCAGAGTCCATCTCCCCTTCCCCTTCCGAGTCCGGGAATCCTTCCAACTCCTCCCCTTCATCAGTGGTCCCAAAGTATTCCCTCCGGAACCTCTCTACAGGCTGAGGTTTCCTTGGGAACCTTTGATGGAACGTTTCTATCAATACCTCGTCATTGATATCTTCAGCCATTACCCAAGTGTTTTCTGACTCCGGTTCTCCTTCCCACGCTACCAAATACTCCACCTGATCCCCCTTCCACCTGGCGTCGAGGATTTCTGCCACATGGCTGCTGCATTCTCTTTCTTCTACGACCGGTCCCGAGTGGCCAGCCCTTCTCGTCCCCCTTCGTACGGTGACAGTAACGACCTGTGAAATACTGGGTGCAGTTTCATGTGGTTGGGTAACCGGAGCCTGAAAGCCACTGGGTTGACCTGTTGAATGACCTCAAAGGGACCCAACCTCCTGGGTCTTAATTTCTTACAACCTCCTTTGAGCGGCAGCCCTTGGGTTGACAGCCACACCCTATCTCCCACCCTTATGGTTTCACCTTCCCTTCGGTTCTTGTCTGCCTGCCTCTTGTATTCTTCCTTCGCCCTTTCTAAGTTGAGTTGGAGCTGACGATGGATTGCTTCCATTTCTTCCACAAAATGCTCGGCTGCCGGGACGCTCCATCTCTCCCCCTCTCCCCTGGGAAAGCCCTGGGATGACACCCATAATTAGCCAAGAAGGGGCTCATCCCTGTGGACACATTCTCGGCATTGTTGTAGGCAAATTCCGCCAGCGCCAACTTTTCTACCCAGTCATTCTCTCTGTCATTGACATAACACCTCAGGTATTGCTGGAGGACACCGTTTGCTCTTTCCGCCTGCCCGTTGGTTTCAGGGTGCCGGGCAGTCGAAAAATTGACCTCCACCTGCAGTAAGCTCATGAGCTTCCTCCAGAACCTGGAAGTAAATTGTTTTCCTCGGTCTGAGACCACCCTCAATGGCACCCCGTGCAACCTAAAAATGTTTTCTACAAATAACTTCGCTGTCTCTTCCGCCGTGACTGCATGCGAGCAAGCTACAAAGTGGCACATCTTTGTTAGTAGGTCTACCACCACCATGATGGCTGTTTTCCCTTTGGACTTCGGCAGATCAGTCATAAAATCTATCGACACTGCCTCCCAAGGTCGTTCTGGGGTTGGTAAGGGTTCTAATAGCCCCGCCGGCGCCCGCCTTTCCCCTTTGGCTCGCTGGCATTGCTCGCACCCTCTTACATACTCACGTACATCTTCCCTCACCTTAGGCCACCAAAATTCCCTGGTGACCAACCACATGGTTTTGTGTTGTCCAAAATGCCCCGCCGTAGGGCTGTCGTGCAACTGCTTGAGTACCCTCCCCTTAACTCTCCTTCAGGGATATACAGTGCCCCTTTGTAATACAAAGCTCCATTTCTTTCCTCGAAACCCCTGGTTCCTCTCCATCACCCCTAAGACCTCTGAGCTTATTCTGGGCGTATTCATCATTCTCTGTTTCCTCTACCAGTTCTCTTTGTCCCACCAATGCCGCCCCACACACCCAGCGGTCTTCTGGAATGACATGTCTCTCTTCGGGTGCCCCCTCCCCTTCCAAATATTCAGGTTTGCGTGAGAGAGCGTCCGCCCTAATGTTCTCTGGGCCTGGCACGTAACTAATCTCAAAGTTAAATTTGGAGAACTCCTGGGCCCATCTCACTTGCCGTTGGTTGAGCACTCGTGCCGTCCTCCAATACTCTAGGTTCTTGTGGTCAGTGCACACTTGCACCTTATGTTGTGCGCCAATTAGCAGGTGCCTCCATCTCCGGAACGCCTCATGAATGGCTAGTAGTTCTCGGTCATACACCGTGTAGTTCCTCTCGGATTTGTTCAGCTTTCGCGAAAAAAGGCACACGGTCTCCACTCTGACCCCTTCTTGCCTGGCTGCAGAAGCACCGCCCCAATCGCTCTGTCTGATGCGTCAGTTTCCACTCTCATCGGTTTTTGTAAATCCACATGCAGGAGTTGTTGTTCCGAGGCGAAGGCCCTTTTTAGTTCCTCAAATGCTCGCTCCGCCTCCTCAGTCCACACGAACTTCTTCTTACTGCTGAGACAGTCCGTAATGGGCGCCGTCAGGTGGGCAAAGTTTCGGATGAACTTACGATAGAAGTTCCCAAATCCTAGGAACCTCTGCACATCCTTCTTTGTTTTGGGTGCTTTCCATTCCAGCACAGCCTGGACCTTGCCGGGATCCATGGCCAATCCCTTGTCTGACAGGCGATACCCCAGGAATTCCACCTCCTTGGTATGAAACTGACACTTCTCCAGTTTCACCCACAGCTGGTTGGCTTGCAGCCTGCTCAACACTTCTCTGACGTCTCTCACATGCTGCTCCTCATTCTCAGAATACACCAACACGTCGTCTAAAAAGGCCACACAATTCTTGTAAAGCAAAGGCCCCAGGACGTGGTTCATAAACGATTGAAAGGTTGCGGAGCCTGCTTGGAGGCCGAAGGGCATAACCAAATATTCAAATGCCCCTAAAGGGGTGAACATAGTGGTTTTCCATTCATCCCCCTTCCTTATTCGTACCAGGTTGTACGCCCCCCTTAGGTCCAGCTTTGTAAAAATCTTTCCCTTCCGCACCCTTGTCAAAATGTCGTCAATCCTGGGCATAGGGAAGGCTACTGGTTCTGACACTGCATTTAAGGCCCTGAAGTCACACACCAGCCTCGGCTTGTTCGTGTTTTTCTTATCCACAAAAAACACTGGGCTGCCCACCACCGCCCTGGACTCTCTGATGAACCCTCTCTTCAGGTTCTTGTCAATGAACTCTCTTAACTCCTGCATCTCTCTGTCTGACATGGCGTACAGCTTGCCTACAGGGAGCTGTGCTCCAGGGAGTAAGTTGATTTGACAGTCAAAGGGTCTATGCGGGGTAGTTGGTCAGCTTCCCTTTCGCTGAAGACGTCACGGAGATCTGCATATTGTCGTGGTACCTTCACGTTCTCTGTTACTTCAGTCCCTGCTAGGGTGGCTTGGACCCCTGCCAAACCCTTTCCCTCTTTGCAGTGTTCTAAGCAATGTGCTGAACCAAAAGAAACCACTCTCTGATGCCAGCCCACCAGCGGATCATGTAACGCTAGCCAGCTCATCCCCAATATAATGGGAGCTCCTCCCAAGGTGGCCACATTAAAAGCTATCAGTTCGGTGTGCCTTGCTACCTTCATTATCATTGGGACGGTCTGCAAGCTGACTTCTCCACCCAACAGCTCCCTGCCATCGATCGTGGTCACCTGCAGGGGGCTGCTTAAAGGATTGTCTGTATCTGGTGTTCAGCTGCAAACTCTTTGCTCATGAAATTGCAGGAGCTGCCTGAGTCCAACAGCGCCTTTATCTTTAGAGGGTGTCCGTTTGGCAGCTCTAGCGTCACTTCTATCACTAGGGCGGGTTTAGGAGGTTCTGGCGTGGGCACTCTCACTGCTCTTTGGCCTGGCTGCTGTGCCCTGACAGTGGCAGCCAGGCGTTGGCTTTTACTTGCTCCGGTATATTTTCCTCTCTTCCATCCACAGCCCCTACCATCCCTTGCCATTCTTTCCTCTGGGGGCAGACTCTGGCAAAGTGACCTGGCTGTTGGCAGAGATAGCATTTCCGGGCGCCTTTTCCCTCCTTCTTTGCCCCCTCACTGGGCTTTGAAACTGCGCGCGCGCGCTGTTCCGATTTCCATCGGCTCTGCCGGTGGGAAAGTTGGCTCTGGAATGTCTGGAATGCGGAACTCCTTCCAACGTTCCCCTTTCCCTTCCCGCCTCTCCAATGCTCTCGCCTCCTGGCGCGCTCCTATGGCCAGCG